CGCTTGAGAACAGCAGGAAACTGGACACAACCTGTCAGTGTCATTAGAACGAAGTGTTTCATCTTTTTGACAATAGCAGTGCCACTGAAAGATTTTAATCAAAAACTGTGTTCAAAGATGATTTATCTGTCACATGTACAAGGAGGTGGCAGTAACTGGCAAAAGTAAGTTTAACTAAAAGCCTCTGGGAATGTTTTCTATGAGTCCCAAAGTAGGGTGGTAGCAAAGAACTTAAAATGCAGGAGAGACACTGGCAGTTGAGTAAAGAGGGTGAGTCAGAGCGCAAAACTGACTCACGGAATTTCACAAGAGTTCTGTATCCCTAATAAGTACATTGCTTAAAGTTTCAATAGTAAATTCATAGATCCATGTAGTGAGTGAATAAGTTAGTACTTAACCCCAAAACACCAATCCATTTTACTTTCATGCTTAAATTTTGAGTGCAAGCATCTTCAACACATCATGCATGCCTCAAGCTTTTTCCTGCATGGGCATGTTTGCAAGTCTACCTAAAGACGGAGGGTGGACATATCTGCAGAGCCTGCACCAAGCGCCAGGCCCCTTGGCCGATCGCCGGGGATACAGAGATAAAAGACAGCACGTGTCTCTGAGCTACATTCTTCCTGCAAAGTCAGCCACGTCTTCCATGACCACACCCCGGCTGCTGACTTCCTCCCTGTGTCTCCACACCAGGTCGGGCTCCTGCTCTCCAGCCCTGCCCGTGCATCTGTCTAAGAGACTTCCTCACCTTGTTGTCCCCAGGTGTCTCCTTCTCAACATCTGCAACACTGGACTCCAATCCCTTTCCCTGGAACCTGCTCCTGCCAAGCAAGGTCTCCATCTGGGAGAATGGCAGAAATGTGGGCTCTTCCCTGGGTAATCCCATTGCTGCCTCACTCCCCACATCATCTATCCTTAATTTCTGTCCATTCTATTTCCCGGATGGCTCTCTAGTCGAGCCACCTCTAGAGTCACCTCTTCGGGACAAGCTACCACCATCTGCTGCCTGCCCGAACTTCCTAAGTGGTTTCCTAGCCTGCAACCCTCCCACCCACTGCCCCACACACTAGCCGGTGTGACCTTTCTAAAATGAATATATGACTGAGTCGCTTATCTGCTTAAAACCCTTTAATGGTTTCCTGTTGCTGTTAGAGTAAAATGCAAATCCCTTAATATGCACTGCAAAGCCCTTTATAGCCAGGATCCTGCCCATCTTCCCATCCTTACTTGGCTCCTATCTCTCCCCTCTCTAAGCACCAGCCACACAGAATCCTTTCAGTTCCTCTAATGGTCCATGCTCTGACTCTCTTCCTGGCCCCCACACATCCTATTCTGCCTGCCAGAAACACGTTTCCACTCGCCTGCAAATTCCCATTCCAAGAAATCATTATTCTGGGCTGCAAGGACAGGCGCACGTTAATAATGATCATTCTTCCACATTGCATGTGTACAGCCCTTTACATTTGCCAAGAGTTTTAACTATATCCCTGTAACTACAATGTAGCATAAATACAATATTTTGCAAACAAAATTCTGAAGAATAGGACTGAATTTGGGGCAACAGAACAGAATTTGCAATCCCATGGCTCTTTTTATAAGTCCCACTTATGGCAGTGGGCATTTAGACCCTGGCCTTCCATCATCAGGGACAAGGGATTGCAGAGTAATTACAAAAGGACAGGGTCAGCAGGTGTTCCAGGCACACACCACGCCAAGAGTTGGCTATTTAGTCCAGTGTGTTGGAGAGGAACGTTCTGCTAAAGATTAGTCGTGGAGTTTCCTTATGCCTGTTCAATGAAGAGGTGCCAAGAACAAAACATACACACCCCACATACCTCTGTGCTCCTTAGAAGTGTAAATAATCTTGGAGGCATCCAGAGGCAACCTCCGCTCTTAGAGGAAGGAGGGGCAGAGAGCCCTCTATGTCCATACCTACCTTAGGACATATTGTCCAAGAACAGGGTGTAATCAGGCCCTTTGTCAGGGTTAAATAGGAAATGAACCCAGCCCATACGGAGAAACGAGAGAAGCAGCGCTGGATTCAAACTAAATAAACATAGATACCAAGACTGGTTCGAACCCATAACTCCTGGGGCAAGTGGGCTGGGTTGTGGTGGGATTTGAGCACTAAGGCACATATCCTGGGATCCCCAAGTGACAGACATCCTTGGCAGAATTTACCAAGAAGGCAATGAAATTATCTTCCCTCAACTATCCCTTGAGGGCATTATGCTAAGTGAGATGAGTCAGACAGAGAAACACAACACTGTACGATCTCACTTAATATTTGGTATCATAAGAAACCAGACTCAGAGAAACAGAGAACAGATTGGTAGTTGCAGAAGCAAGGGGTCGGGGGTAGAGGAAATGAGTGAAAGGGGTTCCAAAGGTATAAGCTTCCAATTATAAGATAAATTCTGGGGATGTAACATACAACATGGTGACTATAGTTGACAATACTGTACTGTCTATTAAAAGCTGCTAGGAGAGTAGATCTTAAAAGTTCTCATCACAAGAAAAAAAGTGTAAGTATGTGAGGTGACGAATATTAACTAAAATCACTGTGGTGATCATTTTGTAGGATATACATATACCAAATCATTATGTTATACCCCTTAAACTAATACAATATTGTGTGTCAATCACATCTCAGTAAAACTAGGGGCAGGGAAAGATCCCTGAGGACTTATGAGTGGACATGATCAATAGTGGCCCAGCATCAGCTGCTAGAAAATCTCAGACCTAGTTCTCAACAGAGGTGCCTGGTCGCCTGAGCCAATGGCACCATAGAAGCAGGGGGACAGCATTTACTCTAGCTACCTGAGGTAGAAGTCAGAGCCTCACAAAGGCCCCTCAGAGTTTCTGGCCATATATCATAGCCCTAAGTTTACATCTATTTCTAAACTCTTCTGGTGATCATGGAACAAATAATAGTTAGGAGTCTGCGAAACCTCTTACTGGTTTACTCAAGATCTCACATTGAACAACAGGTAGAGATGAAGGAAAAAAGTGATTCAGTAAAGATGAGTGGTATATTGTGCCGTCAAAAACACAGAAACAGGGGTGAGAAGGGAAAGACCCATGAGCTCATCGGCCCAGGACAGGCAAGCACTGTTCCTACAGTGTTTTGACGGCCTGGCTCTGACCGAAGCTACTGGCAATTATGCCAAATCACATTAAGTCTGCATAAAGCCTCAGTGAGAAAAAGGAGTTTCTGAACAGAGGAATGTGACACACAAGCAGGGTAAAGTGACTAGACCTCATTCTGTTAGTGCCTTGAGAATACACTGGAAAGCAGAGCTGGGTTTTGACTCCACTCAAATCTTCCATAAATGGAGTCTAAAGGCAGGCTACAGGACATCCCGAGACTCCCCAGAGAAATTCCTATTATGTCCATGGAAGGGGAATGAAGCAAGTCCCATCTGGCTGGGCCGAGAATATTCTCTGCTTAGGAAACTTTGTGGTGGTTGCATTTAGTGCTGACTGCGTGTTTGTACTAGACCCAAGCCAGAACCGAGAGGTGTAAGTACACTGAAAAAAGAGCCAGACAGAGCAGCCGGTGCTGGGCTAGTCTTTGTCTCTAAAACATCAAAACCACAAGGCAAGATATTAATTAGGGTATCATTTTTATAAAGTCCCTAACTAGTTATGAGACACTATTATGACCAGTGTTGCTCAGAGTTGCTATAGCAAAATATAGTGACGTTATCTTTTTCCATTAGTCTATCAATATGCAAGCTAAAATCAAGAACAGGCTGGCATGCACCGCTAGTGACTCTCGCTCTGTGAGGGTGACACTCTCAGGGAAACCCTAGAACTTCAAACTAACTGCACAATGAAACTGGCCTTATTAGGAACTAAAGGCACAGGTGGACAAGGCGACAACTCCAATGTTACCTGCTCGAAGAGGCTGCAGTCCTGGGCTCCCTCCTTCACTATGTAGCAACCTCTAGTTACTCTCTAACACATTAACTTTGATTACTAAGTTATCTGGTGAAGTATCTGTAACTGAAGGCTTCATGGAGTCCAGAAGACCAGCACTCGCATCCATTCAGCAAAAACATGGCATATTAGAATGGAAAGTCTTTATTACAGACAGAAATTAAATCCATGCCTTGATCACAGTGATCTGAAGCCACACCCCTGGCAAGTGTGGTCCACAGACCAGTGGTATCACCGGACCTGGCAGTTTGTTAGAACAAAATTGGGGGCCTGCTGTAGACCCAGTGAATTGGAATGGTTGAAAATGGGGACCCCAAATCTGCATTTAAGTTCTCTAGGTGTTTCTTATGTATCTTAAAGTTTTGACTAACTATTATTTAGAAATAAAGGTAGGGCCTGGCTGGTGTGTCTCAGTGGTTGAGCACTGACGCATGAACCAGGAGGTCACAGTTTGATTCCCCGTCAGGGCACATGCCGGGGTCGCAAGCTTAATCCCCAGTAGGGGGCTTTNGAACCAGGAGGTCACAGTTTGATTCCCCGTCAGGGCACATGCCAGGGTTGCAAGCTTAATCCCCAGTAGGGGGCGTTCAGGAGGCAGCCNAGGTCACAGTTTGATTCCCCGTCAGGGCACATGCCGGGGTCGCAAGCTTAATCCCCAGTAGGGGGCTTTCAGGAGGCAGCCAATCAATGATTCTCTCTCATCATTGATGTTTCTGTCTCTCTCCCTCTCCCTTCCTCTCTCTGAAATAAAGAAAAACTTTTTTTTTTTTTAAAGAAAAAAAGAAAGGTGGGAATAAACAGGAAATGTCATAAGGACTAGGATTTTGCCAGGGACAACTGACATATTCTTGCTGTCATTTAGATTTTTTAAAATCAGGCAAAAGGAAGATGAATTATATGCAAAATTACATGTGTGCCTACATGTGCCGTCAGATACCTGCTCCATACTCTGCCTCACTGAAGCTTCCAGACAGAGCTAAATCGCCAACACACTGACCACGCACCCTGTGTGCAACACTCTTGCTTAGCTTGGGGACAAGAGGGCAGGGGTGCCATACCATGGTTCAGATGTCGGATGCAGTCGCTCAGGAGAGCATGGAACTTCTTCTGCTCAGAGGCCTCATGGAAGCAGAAGTAGCCGTGTCTGAGGAACGGCTGCCACAGGTACACTGGGAATTCCTTCGGCAGGACCACGAAGGGCTGGGTGTTCTCCTTCTCATTGGACGCTACGGAAATATTGAAAATGCAAAGATGTTTCAAAATGTGCACCTTTTATTTAAAACACTTATTTCAGGCCGTCAAGGTAACTCTCCAGGGCGGGCCATGAGATGGAAGGTGGTGAGAGATGTCTTGGGAGGTGGCAGAGGGAGAGTTCAGGCTCTTCCCACATCCCTCCACCAGCTTTGGCCTGTCTCACTCTAGCAGGTGGCCTCACCTGCTACCCCGCAGGGACAACCAAGGCCATCAGACACAACCTTTCGCAACTTCCTTACATGGACGGAATGAGCAAACAGAGCTCCCTCTTCCCTCTGGCTTTCTGCAAGCTCCTCTGTCCAGCTGTGCAGACCCCCGCCCTCCCCCAGACTCCCAAGTCACCAGGTCTGCGCTCTGCGCCCACTCTCTCCCTCCTGCCTGCCACTTGTCGTCTTCATGCCATCAACCCCTGCTCTCTCCTCAGTCTGGTTCCTGCCCCACCAGCCCAGAAACTAAATTGCTGAGGTCACTAATGTCACCCTGACTTCCAGCCTATGGCTTCTTCATTATCTATCCTCCTAACCGGATCTGAAACACCTGTCGCTGCCAACTACCCCTTCTTTTGAAAACATTCTCTTGCCATGACTTCCAGGAGCATGTCTCTCCTTCATGCTTTTTAAAAATGGTTTCTTCTTTGTCACCTTTACTGGTTCCTCTGCGCCTTCTCTCCACCCCCCAGTTAAGGGCCGGTGCTCGCTCCCTGTTCTGTACTGGTTTCCACTCCGCTGTCCCCGAGTGGGGCCATCCATTCCATGACTCTGCATATCACTTTGGCAGTCCATAGTACTTTCCTCCTTCCCTTCCATCATGATTTTACACAGAAAATTCTCATTCATCCTTCAAAAATCAAATCAAAAGCCACCCGCTCTGGGGTGCCTTTGTTGGCACCCCCTTCTGCCACCAGAGATAGAGTTGGGTGCCCCCTATCTTGTTTTCCCAAAATACTGTAATGATCTGTTTCCATGCCTGGCACCCACACTCAGGGTAAGGGGCATAGCCTTAGATAAGCCCCTTCACTGATTCTTCCCAGAAAGCCGAACCGCTGCCCCGGGGCTCCTAGAAGGTGGAGACTGCACCTGACATTTCTTTGTATCCCCAACACATGCACAGTCATGGAACCTGGTAGATGCTGAACTACAGTTTGTTGAATAAATAAATGTGCTACATTGTCCTGGGAAATTTTAAAAGCCTTAAACAAAGGGAACTCTTACTTCTTCTCTCAAAATCAATTCCAAGAGACTCATGTTAAGCCCTACCACTATTCAGACCCCCTACCTAAACTTTATTCCCTTCGGTGCATTACAATTATATGATATTGCACTCGGTTAAATAAAACCCCAGCTTATTCCCTGAGTCATGGAGAGCAAGTAGCCGAAAACGATCCCTGTGCTCCCTGCCTACATCACAAGCCTCAATCTCAGGGAAAGGAAGAGAAGAGGGACTCCCTAAGAGGCCACTGAAAGCCCCAGACATACCAAGAAATGGATCCTAATCAGAAGGGTGGCTCCACAACCAAGTCTTGCTACTGGCAAATTAATAAATCAAGATTGGCCTAGAAAAAGAATAGATTTCCCAGGGCACACATGGGAGCTGTTTCAGTGTCCTGAAACCTGAAGGGAACATAGTAGAATGCACTGGGAGCACAGACTGGGGCCCACCAGCAACACACCTGGCACACAGGAACCTAAGAATGAATCAGCGTGTGAATGAACAAACAAAGGCATGACTGAACCCTGTAGCAGAGACCTGCAGTTGTAACACATATCTGTCCATTCCCCCTCCTTTCTCAGTAATGAAATCCTTGATTTTTAGTTGATTTTTATTTCTGCTGCACAGGATAAAGACTACATTTCCAGGCTCCACTTCAGCTTGCATTGCCACAGCCACCAAGTTCTGGCTAATGGGGTGTAAACTGAAGTGGCAGTGAAACTTCCTGGAAGTATCCTTAAAGAGGGGATGTGCCCGTGACCTCCCCTTGTCTGGAATGAGAAAGCCAGGCTGGCTCTCCAGCTGCCACCTTGGGTGATGTCAGTAAGGGCCACAACTTAGAGATAAAGGGGGAGAAAGCTAGAACACGTCCTTGACATTTATGGAACCGTCACACTAGCCCTGAACTACTAATATCCGATTATTTTTAGTAAGATAACAAAACTTTATGTATTTAATTTGAGTTTTTTTGTTGTGTGTGGCAAACCAGATTCTCAGTAAGAAAAAGTCAATTAAGTGAGTCACTACCGCAAGACATGAGGGCACTTTTAATAGATCATCTTAGCAGAATGCTATGTCAAGAAGACATATTTATTGATAAGTCTCTAGTTCTTTTTCTCAAATGAGGTTAATTCCTCCCATCTCTATTGTGCCTTTGTCCTTTCCAGTAGGATTAGTATCACACAGGGAGCCTTTCTGTTAACATGGTTTTGTGAAACAATTCTTGCCCTTCCCAAGATGTCACAGTTTTGGACCAACAACTGAAAGCAGCACTGACATTTTGATTTAAAAGCTTGAGAAAACCCCGGAAATTCACTCCTGTTAGTCTCTAGATACCTCTCATTTAACCTTTTGCAACAATTTTCCAGATGCCATTAGTCTGCATTTTTTTCTGAGTTGAGTTACAAGGATATCACAAATGATCTACTGTAGAATGTTCTGTTTTTAAAACCCAGAAGGTCACTGTTAGATGGGTCAGGTACAGAAATCCAGGTACAGAAACTCAGGTACAGAAACTTACCAGGGCAGGAAGCCCAGAATGCCCAGCAAGGGGCAAAACTGGGAAAACAAGAACCTTGCCCCCAGGGTAACCTATCCTTCCCTAGCATACAGCTGGTTATTCAGTTTGAACCCCTGATCTTTCTTATCACTGATCATGTGGTTTGGACCCCCTGAGTGGTTCCTCCTTAAAGATAATATCTAAGCCTCAGTTGTATTTCAGCTCCAGGCCCAGAAAAGCAGCAAAACCAGACAAGTAGCACTTTGGCTGCCTCAGGCCCAGATACATTGTCTAATGATCCCCCTGCCCTGGCACTGACCAATCAGTGGAGACCATGACCCTGAAAGAGCACATCTGGAAAGCTGAAGAATATTCTATTGAGACCCTCCCCTGAGACCTCCCCTAAGATTCCCACCTGCAAGAAAGAGAAATATGCTCAGAACAAAGGACCCAGCACACGCTCCCCACCAGGGGAACTCGCCAGTGCCATCTCCGTTCCCCTTCTTCCCTCCGAGGGGACCCCACGAGACTTGCAACCAGCGGAGCAATAATCAGAGGTGCCTGTCCCGGGCTTACCCCCTGATCCTGTCTCCAAGGCCCCTTCTCTCTCTGACTCCTCAGTGAGCCAAAGCAGCCCAGCCCAGCCTAGGCTCTCCTATCGCTCCTTCTATGTCCTTCCTTGTTTAACTGTCCTAAGTATGTTTTTGCTGCCATCATGGACCCAATACCCTTTGGCTCCGTGCCGTGTAGCCCTTCCCTTGGGATATCTCCACCCCCTTTTAATTAAATAAATTTAATTTTTCTTTATTCACCAGTCTGAGATGGCTATTTAGCCTGCCCATGCACCACATACTTCAACCTTTCAGCCACACCATACAATAAAAAAAAAAGAGTCATTAAAATGCCCCAATCTGAAGCCTTAAATCAAATTAGTTACACAGGACTTGTGGTTTTTATTCCTTTTCATCCCTTCTGATATGATCTCACCAATAAATCAATAAATATATTGTCCGTTCTGACTGATTTCATCGGAAAGTCCTTTTGGAGAGATTCTGAAGAGCCAACATGTTGCTATTCCCATTTCCAGCAGTAGCTCCAGAGCCACGGTGACATATAAGCAGATGTTGAAAGAAAATATAATAATATGTATAGTGCACATAAAGTGTTGTTTTAGCAGGAATTACTTAATAATAGTTTGTTTAATCTGGGTTTATGGCCCATGTGTTAATCTAATAAAAGTGTTATTAAAAACACTATGCTAAGCATTCTGCACCAAAAGAACAAAAATAACTATATTTTCTCTATAAATTCTAATGAAATGATTATACCCATTAATAAGAACCAGCACTCTCTTCAAGAAACCAAGTAATTGCTGTGTGGTATGATTTACACAGAGCCAGATGGAATTATTACATTATCCACAGTTCATGAATCTCTATGAAATGCACGACTTGGTCTATATATACATATTATCCATCACTTTCTCTACATGGAAAAAGTAGAATGAATAAGAATCCAAGTATGTTAGAGATGGAAAGATCCTTCTAGATTTTCAAGCTGAAGGCCCTGGAGTTGGAGAAACAGCAATCAGAGAGTTAAGTAACACTAGGGAAAACACTTGACAGTTAGAACTACATAAAAATCCAGTCTTCCAATTCTCAGTTCAGTGCTCTTTCCATGGTAGCATTAATAGCATTCAGCTATTGTTTATAAATATGCTAATTAATTCAATGCTTTTTTTCCACTTAGCTATGAGTTACTGTAACGCTTGTTAAAAACATTTTGTCGATTTAGGATATTCTATTGCATATCTTGGAAAATAAAATTAGAAAAATAATATTCCCTGACATGCTTACTGAGAGATGAGATTGTATATTTCACAGACGGGGCCCTGGCTATCTAATTCCGCTGTCCTGTGCAGTGCTGTCAGAGCCTCCAATGTAGTCCAAACGCCTTCAGATGCCTAACCAGTAGCACATTTTTGATGCCCTAGAAACAGCAATTGACTTGTACATTACTGAATGTCATTTAAAATAATAGAAGTGGTACCATGTTTACCTAAATTAGGGAAATTACATCTCCCGTTTGCCTGTGGAGTTCGTGTCTAAACCAGAGTCTCTCAACTTCAGCAACTATTAATATTTTATGCCAGATAATTCTTCATTGTCAGAGGCTGTTCTGTACATTGCAGGTTTAACAGGTTATGGGCCTCTATCCACTAAACNGATAATTCTTCATTGTCAGAGGCTGTTCTGTACATTGCAGGTTTAACAGGATTACGGGCCTCTATCCACTAAATNGGAGTTCGTGTCTAAACCAGAGTCTCTCAACTTCAGCAACTATTAATATTTTATGCCAGATAATTCTTCATTGTCAGAGGCTGTTCTGTACATTGCAGGTTTAACAGGTTATGGGCCTCTATCCACTAAACACCTGTAGCACCATCCTCCCAAGCTGTGACCACTAAAAATGTCTCCAGACACTGCCAAATGTCCCTGGAGAGTGAAATCTCCCTCCCCCTGTCGAGAGCCACTGGTCTAGCTAAACAAAGCAAGTCTAGGAATTTTGCCTTGGGAAAGAATGCTCAGCAGCTCACCAAGAGGGTCTGGGAAATGCCGATCAGATAATAAATTGTATTCTTCTTCGGAGGTTAGCACCTTGCCACCAGCTGGAAGAATTCGGCTTTTCGGAGCAGCTCCTTTCTGATAGGCCTGGGAAAGGAAAGGCATAAATGAGTGATTGTTTTGCTCCATTTGGATTTTTGAAAACTATCCAGACTATTAGAAATAGACAAACAGACACAGGCCCTCAGAGATAAGCAATTCCCACACTATGTCACTCAATAAGAGCCATTTATTTTAAAAATATGTTTTGCACAACTGCTACTTGCAAGGTATTACTTCAGTACTTTTGTGTGATGGTCACAACACGGTAAATCAGAGTCCCTAATCTCAGGGAGATTCACCGTAGGTGTGTTTCTCAAATGAGGAAAACATAATCTTAGTGTAACCTCTAGAAATCCTGCACCACACCATGTCAGGTGCTGGCACCTGAGTCATTCTAATAACCACGGGGTGTTGATACATAAGACACTGACGACACTACTTGCTTGCAGGCTGATGACTCATGAGACTGTGGAACAGGTACTGCAATCAGGGTTGCCATGGATTGTCACCAAAAACATAAAAACGTTGCTATGACAAATATGCCACCACTTTGCCCTCGAATGTGAGACTGTTTTGCAGTAAAATCGTCTGGGGTGGAATGGCAATATGGTGACATCAGAACAAATCCTGGCCAGCAGACAGAAGGCTCTGCTGTTCGGGACACCTAAGAGAAACTGCATCGCTAAGGCACGAAAGCATTTGTGATAGCAGAGAAGCCCACAAAGACATACAGATAAGATAAAGTTGAAGTATTGTGCATCTGAGGGCAGGGCTTAAGTCAAGGCAAGATGTTGAGAATTACAAGCTAAAAGCAAGTTAAGAATCGAAACCAAGCACCAGTGGGACCCAAAATGTACCTAGTACCCTTGGGAATAAGTAAACTAATGTTGATTGGGGCGACGTGATCAGAACGAGAACACATTCTCCATCAGTAAGGTAGTGACTGAAGAGACACAAACAAAACAAACTCTTGTATCTGAGAAGGTTGTTTTCATACTTGTGAAATTCACTCATCAGCGGCTTGAGAACATCAGGGACCCAGAGCATAACAGAGAAGAATCAAAAGTTGTGTGATTTCGAAAACATTCAGAAGCAGTTTGATTGAGGCGGGCCTCGAATCTAAATTGTGTTACTTGTTATAACAGGCCCCAGTCTGGGCTTTTATGAACATTATATTATTTAATCCTAGAAACAGCACTATGAATTAGTTACTATCTCCATTTTATAAAAGAGAAAACAGGTTAAATAACCTACCAATGGCCCATCGGTGAGTAGGTGACAAATCCAGGACTCATACCTGGGTCTATCCAGCCCAGTGCAAGAGCACAGGAAGTACCAATTAAACGATCATCCAATGAGAATGCTTCATTTTTTCCTACTTAATAACCAGCCAAAACAGAACCCCCAATAAAATCATAAGCAATTTGTAGGTACTTAATGTATAACTCTTGGGTGCCATTTTTTAAAAACTTCTATAAATGAAAAAAAGATATTAAAACTTGGAGGAATTATGGTGAACTACATGCCATTTTTTTTAATTTCCAACTTTTTAAAATACTTGTTTATCATCAAATTCAGTAATCACATCTTAAAAATCCACATCTTAAAAATCCAAACAGGTCCACTCAAAAATAATGAGCACATAAATTGAAAGTTGAGGGAGAAAGCTTTAAAAAATAAAAAGAGGAAAAACACTGATTTCGATTCAAAATGAAACTTCAGTTGGTGCCCAATGCGGTGAAAACCATCATAAATCCAAGAGGAAGCTCTGTGAGTGTTTCCTCCCAATGATTTAGCACTCGTCAGACCCACAGGCTCTTCGCTGGGCTCTGCCTGTGCTTGGCATGTGCCGAGGGCCTGAGAAAGGCGAGGCTCAAGGAGATCTGTGACTTAGGAAAGGACACATCTAGTAACTGATGAAGGTGTGATCGCAAGTGCTCAATATTAACCATTCATCTCAAGCTTCCCTTAAAGGACACTGTGACCTGTCACACAAAATGAAGGCGACTCTTATCATGATTCTTACATTATTATGTGTAGTGTGTTGGTAATTTGCTTTAGAGAGCAAATCAAGTGTTGAATAAAATCCTAATATAGATCAACAAAGAAAATATTAGCTTAATGACTGTTGAAAAGAATAAGGCTATCCAAGGCAGCACTGCCTGGCTGTGTGTGGAATAAGTGTGTGTTGCACTTTATTTCTGTTTTCCATCAGAACTGGGAAGGAAACACATGGGTCTGTCAGTCTGAAGCTTCTTCCCATAGGTTTAGCATCGGGGGCATTGCTCAGAGTATCAGTGGTGGCTGTCCTGGCTGCTTGAACTTAGTGTCAAGAGAGCAAAGTTTTAAATCTGTTAAGGCTAACTGATAAATAATAAGAATCTATGTAGATCTAAAAGTGTAGAGTATGAGGTCTGAAAGGAACTGTTGGGATCATTCAGCCTAACTCTCCAGTTTAATCAAAGCCCGGCCTAAACTTTAGTTTTCCAAATTCATGGCCCAGTGTTTTTTCCTCTACACTACTATACTTTCCATGAGGAAATAAATGGGAACCAATAAAGTGCCCGGATGCTAGGCACTTTACATCCATTATCTCATTTTCTCCACATTTCACAAACAAGAAAAACAATGCGATAACCAGGATTAAGTTAAAAGAAAAAAAATCATAAATATAAGTGGAATAAGTGTGTGAAGTGTTCTGAACTCCCAGGAGCTCGTGCATATTCAATTACAATCTTTTTTTTTTTTTAATCCTCGCCAAAGGATATGTTTATTGATTTTAGAGAGAGAGAAAGGGAGAGAGAGAGAGAGAAACATCAATCGGTTGCCTCCTGTATGCACCCCGACCAAGATCAAACCCACAACCTAGATATATGCCCTGACCAGGAATCAAACCCAGGAATCAAATTGGTGTAAGGGACAATGCTCCAACCAACTGAGCCACGGCCAGGGCTCAATTATAATCTTATTAAATAACTTCTCAGTCATCTGTCTTGTAGGAGGCTTAAGAGTGGGGAGACGCTAGCCAGGGTTGCTCAGTTGGTTAGAGCATTGTCCTGTGTACTGAAGGGTCGCAGGTTCAATTCCTAGTCAAGGCACATACCCAGGTTGTGGTCCAGTCCCCAGTCAGTGCACATATGGGCAGCAACCCATAGATGTTTCTCTCTCACATCAATGTTTCTCTCTCTCTCCCTCTCTCTCTCTCTCATCAATGAAAAACATATCCTCAGGTGAAGATTAAAATAAGTAAATACATAAAAAAAAATTTTTTTTTTAAGCGTAGGAAGACACAGAGACACAGAGCGAAGGAAGAGACATCAGAGCAGTGACTGAGAAAGAACCTGAAGCTGAATGATCACAAGAAAGGCCCCTGCACTGGTCACGCGGCATAACCTGCTTTCACTCTCACTTGCAATGACTTGTTCAAAGTCTGTCTTGCTCACTAGACTGCAAGCATCTGTCTGATGTACTGCTCTATGCCCAGAATGTTTTATGGCACGCAGCATGTAATAGGCACTCGGTAAGCATCTGTTAACTGAAATGAGTACCTGCTCAAGAGCGAGTGCTTATTAAAAGAATCCATCCTGAAGAAGAGGGCACGACCATCAACCTACCCAATCTTTAAGAATATTGCCAGAAGCAAGGGTGACCAGGAAATATCTTACCTCTTTGTTCTCATAGCTCTCCACCGCAAAATCATTTTTAATCACAACGTATCTCTCCTTCCATTTCTTTATGTCTTCGGCAAACTGTGATAGTTCTGCCTCATACAAAACAGTTCCAGGCTCCAATGGTGGCTTAAAGAAGATGGATACAATTAATTATGATGACAAAAGACAGCACACCATGCTACCGCTAAGTCTGCCCCTGGCACTTCAAGGAATATTTCAGGACTCCGTCTTGTGCTGACATCCTGCAGAAATGGTTGTTTTTTCCACTCCGTCCACACTTCCCTTTCCTACTCCTCCTGACCACATGCAAATATTTGTCTTATTGATATTTTTGTGGTTTTCATTTCTCTCCATTATGCTGCAGAAACAGAAGCATATGGTGGAAGGGGTTACGGTAATAAGACTATGCCTGGTATACATGTGGCACTTAATAAATCCTTAATAAACTCTGTGGAAGAGAGGAAGTGAAGCAGTTAAGTTGTAGACATCTATCCCAAGGCCAGAAACATGCCTCGGGGTTAAATCCTGAAAAACAGGAGAATTAACAGGTTGTTCCCCTATTTATCACGCCTTTAGGCAGCCTCAAAAGTCAGGCTCAATGTTTTCCCAGGCCCCAAAGCCCCGGGGGGCCCAGGCTGTAAACCCTGAGCCCATACCTGTTCTCAAGGAGACCACATTGGCTCTCTGAGTAAAGAACAGCAGGCAAACCAGCACAGCTCACTTTTGTGTCTTCTACTTAAAAGTCTGAGGATTTCTCATTAACTCTGGTGGCACATGTGCTGTGGGGAGTCTCTGTAAGATTTCCGGTTACATCTCCCACTGGGCTAATTGTGTAAGGAATCATTCCCATCCTGCCTCACACTGCAATTTCTGTTTTATCTCAAGATATGGGAATGAGCCTTCTGTCTTTTACATGAATTTACATCCATTTTCCCTTTATTAAAAAAATCATAATGCCTTTAGAAACTCATTCCTCCACTTTCAAGCAAAATTCATAGGAACCACACAGAGAGGATAGATGTGCTCATCTTTTTCAGGAATGAAATAAATTCCCTTCCAAATCCCAGGGCTTAATATTCTGTCCTCACAAATAATGAGGCAATCTGCTATCTTAACAGGCAAGAGAAGACTTCACTCTCCTCGCTAAATGAGACTGAAACCATATGTAAGCTGAACTCTTTATAGTTCTTATGGGCAGCATTGCTTAAACTTGAGCCACTTACATCAATTGATACACTTGTTTAAAATGTGGCCTCACCCTAGACTTACCATATCAGAATTTCTAGGAATGTGGGCCAGAATTTGCATTTTAACAAGCTCCCTAAATTTTGAGAATCACTGCTTTATGGAGATAAGAATCAGTTATCCCTACACACCCATGCTGCTAAATCTATTGGTCACCCTACCCAACTTCTCAGCAGTATTTGACCCATTTCATACTTTCAACTTCTTGAAGCCTCTTTTTTATTTGCCTTGTGGAACATTTCACTTTCCTGACCTTTCTCTTACTCCACAGGCTATTTCTTCTCTGTCCTTCTTGCAAGATCCTTTTTTTCCTGATCTCCAACCGTAGAAAGGGTCAGGGGTTCGTCCCGAAACCTTTTCTCTATATTCATGTCCCACAGCTTTGCTACCAGTTATAAGCTAAGAAATCCCAATTTTCTATTCTCTTAGCTTCAACCTCTCCACCGAACTGTAGACCAGAGCATTCAACTACCTCCTCAATATTTCCATGAGTGTATGTCAAATAAATATCTTAAACTTAAGATGCCAAAAGTGAACTCATGTTTCCCATCCACTTCTGACTCTTCTATCCAAAAGGCAACTCTATCCACTTACTTGCTTATGCTAGAAACCAAGAAGTCAACACTGATTTCTCTCGTCTTCTGTTATCTCTCACCCAACCCATCAGCAAGTTCTGTCAGCTCTACCTCAAATACATCTTGGCTTGGGTGTTTCCTCATAACTGCCACCATCACCACCCTAGTGCCATCTGCCATCATCCTTCTGCTGGCCTGCTACAGTGTCCTCTTCACCCATCTCTCATTTCCTCTCTTTTCCCTCTCCATAGTCTTTTCACTATACAAAGGCCAGAAAAATCACTTAAAATTATGTCACTCTCTATTCAATGCCTTCCAATAACTTCCCATAACACTTAAAATAAATACCTGATTGCCTAGCTGGGTTGGCTCAGCAGTTGAGCATCCACCTGAGATCCAGGATATCACAGTTCGATTCCTGGTCAGGGCACATGCCTGGGTTTCAGGTTCAATCCCCAGTAGGAGGCATGCAGGAGGCAGCCGATCAATGACTCTCACCATTGATGTTTCTATCTCTCTCTCCCTCTCCCTTCCTCTCTCTCTGAAGTCAATAAAAACATATTTTAAAAATATTTTTTAAAATCTTACGTTCTAACTTCCAGGTAAATAGATATTTCTGAACATGAAATTATTTGAGAACACTTTTTTTTTTAACTGCCATTTAAATGAAAGTTTCTTTCAGATGTTTTATGAATTATAAAGCATTACTCAGTGGGAGAAATAGATAAGCCAAATGGCCATGGGTTACCTTGGTCTTCAAAAACTGTGATGTAAAATCTCTTTGCTGTTCTACTTCACTGCGCACATGGTTGCAGAAAGCCACAGAGTACTGGCGACTATAGAAGGGACTGAAGTTTTTGATAGCAGCCTCAGTTTTCCCTGGAAAAACATGAAAATTAAAATTTAGAGATGCAGCATCTCTCACAGAATAGACACATATCTACATCATGCATAAATGCTCCTCCTGTCTCCCAAACACCACTGTTTCCCAGAAATTTTCTTCATTTTACACCAACAACCCATTTCCATGGCCATGTCTAATCCTCTGTGACTACCATCCTATCTCACCCTGTTCTCACTTCAACTGGCTCTTCATTCCCTTCTACCTCCATCATTCAACTCCTGCACAGCAATAATCCCAGGGTCCACCATCTCAGTCCTGCACACTCATCACTCCATCTGTCTTTAGATCCCTGGGGCTCCACTCCTTGTCTTGCTGATCCACTGCCCTGGATAAAACATCAACAAATGATTTCTTCTAGTTCTGGTCCTATGTTTCTGGTTTAAATTTGTGCGTGTGTGTGATTCCAAGCATCATATAATTACCGTGAGGTAGAGAGAAAAGCTTTGTGAGTCTAGAGACCTGAGTTCTGGTCCCAATTCTACTGAGAACAGAAACCAGCTGTACGACCTCAGTCAAGTCACTCAGTCTCTCCGGGTTCCAGTGCCCCTAACTCGAAAGGAAGGTGCCCACTAGTCCACACTGCTCTTGGTATCTATGTGACACCGAAGAATAACCATGGAGGAACAGCTGCCTGACAATAGTGACCAACAACTGCAATATGGTGTCTCCGCACCAGAAGAAAATAAGGCTGAGAACCAACCCGTGGGGGCAGCTTGAGGACTCTAGATAGAGGGAGAGGGAGAGTCAGGCACTGGGACTATTCTCGAGCTTTTCCAGCCTGTGCTTAGCTTTATAGAGTACGGTAGTTGCAAAGGAAGGGAAAAAAAAGAGAAACCAGGGAGAAAGGGCAAAGGAATATTCTAAAGCAGATCAGAAATCTTCACAACCTTTCGAAGACTTGCCACAGCATATGGAAACAAATACAGGTCCCCCTAACTGTGCCTAAAAGCTGTTCGTCCTTGGAATAAGATATTAGCTTGAGAAAAAATAAACCTGATACAACATTCCAAAATATTTTTAAATACTTTCATGCGAACTTGGCATAATTTTTGTTTTTCAAATTTGATATTACAGTCAACAGAGAAATATTAAAATATAACATACTGGCAAAATTTGAGTTACTGCACATGTAAAATTTTAACAATAAGTAAAGAGTTCTAACCACATAGATTGAGATACTCAGTACAAGAACCTTGAATCCACAGCTGTCAACTTCTAACCTAGAGAATCACAGCCCCAAACACCCACAGCGTAGAAATATTCTCTTTATATGGAGGAGGCTACTTTAGCTCAGGCATTTAGGTCTCAGGATATGTATGAGGTAAAGGGGACGCTCATGCCCTCAATAAAATGACATTTCCTGGCCGTATTTATGGGCTTTAATAATTATTACTTGTAAGGTGCTTTGAGACCCACTAATAATAGGTTCTGCGGAAATGCAAATGAAAGCTCCTATAATTTGAACCAGGCATGCCTTTGCTTGCTCTGTGAGTTTATGGTATTACTATTAATCAATATTTGCATAACACTTTAATACACTCAGGCTCTATAACTGTCTAATTGGTTATTATTTTCATTAGCTTTTATATAGTGCATAAGAAATAAAATTCAATACCCTTGTCTATAATTTTCTTACATAGGAGTGGGACATCTTTGAGAATTCCCACAATGAGAATGAGTTTCACCTCACTGAAACATATAAATGATTAACAAAATTTGCCCTTTAGAGCCAAGTAACCACTATGTTGTCTAGCAGAAGAGCAGCCTGTTAATTTCTGATGCTAATTTTTGCACTCTTGCAAGAACTTGGATTTAAATGAAAGGAGATGAGTGTCGTTTTATGGTGAGCTCTACAAAGCCTTGAAAGCTGATTTCCTGCCACATCACCAAGCCTCCCTCAAATGCTTCTCTGATTTGAATATTGTATATGGTACCATCAACACATCATCCACAAGGTAGCACTTACCAAAAAAAAAAGGGATCAGAGCTTCCTTGGGTAATGAACCAAATGACTGGTTCAAAATGTGAATAAAGCAGCTAACAATATCACAAGTTCTAGGGGAAAGAGAACCTAAAGCAATTCCATAAATGTATCTAGATTTTAGATTAAGCCTATCTAAACCAAATAAAGGAAAGTCCACTGTAGGGATCTTGACACTTTGAGAAAAGCCTGGTGCTGGGGCAAAATGCCAATGTGGTTAGGACAATGGACTCCGGAGTCAGAGAGACATGGGTTTGAGTTCCATCTCATGAGGCTTCCTCTTTTATAAAAGAAGACAAGAGGAGCAATCTCATAACGTTATTGTAATTACATGAAATAATGCAGTAAAGCACTCAGCACTGTAGCTGGCACATAGAAAGTGTTCAATAATCCATAGTAATTAAACTGATGGCAATGGTAATGATGGAACACCCAAGCCAGCTACCAAGGGAATGTCCTTAAGCTGAACTAAGAAATCAAGGAGAAGCCAAAAGCAGGCCATCTACTGTAACTCTTTAACTGGGACCATCCTGTCCAGCTGCATACAGAACAGCGGTCCCACTCATTATAGGCTCGAAACAAACATAACTTACATTTTCACAGATGTTTCAAGAGCACTTATCAGCACATCAGAGCAAGGCCCTCAGTGCATCCCTGAACTGAAACCAACTAAATAAAACTTTAGCATTAATGAGCCAAAGCAAAAGCATGAGTTAGTGGTTGTGTTACACTGAGCTTCTCTCTCTGAGCCTCAGTTTTCTCGCCTATAAAGTGAGAATAGTAAGACACCCATTTTCACAGGATTTTGTCTGGATTAAATGAGATGGTCTGCAGGTAAAAGAGTTCCTAGAGCAGTGCCTAACACTTCAGTTGCTCAATAAAGTATGACCATTCTTACTATTATTGAATATGCCACCGTGAAAGCATTCAAATAAAGTTAATCAGCACACAGGCACCACATAAAAAAACTTCAGCTGAAACCAGCTTGTTCGCAGTTTTCAAGATTCTTGGGTACTGAATTGCCTTCATTCCCCACCCCACTCTCCAATTTAGTATCATATCCCCTTTCCTAAATTGTTTGTAAAACACAGTGCCAGGTCTTCCACTAAAAAGAAGTCACTCAATAATATAAAGACTAGAACCAACAGAAGGGCTTCTTCCACATTTTGTTATATCCGTATTTTTGGTACATACAGGGTGTCCCCAAAAATATATACACACTGCAACAGCTGATAGCTCAATTCTGAAAATGATATGTATTTTAATAAACATTGCCTTTATAATTATTCAAAGTGTGTGTATACATTTTCGGGGGACACCCTATATTTCTTCTAATTCTACTCAATTATTGCAGCCTGTGCTGGGCATTGTGTTGGTACAATTACTTCATCAGGTTGCTCATAACACCCTTCAGAGTAATCATCACTAAAGCTAAAAAAAAGCCCCTTCAACAGCTCTGTCCACAACCTTTAGTTTCAGTTCAACTTTGTAAAAGTAAGAAAAGTGTCTCCTGGCCCTTTCAAAACCACTTGAAGTCAAAGAGGTTCAAGAACTCAGCGCTGTTCTTCGATTCCTTCTCCCTCACGCCCACGTTCAGTCATCAAATCTTGTCACTTCCATTTGCACGAGGTTTCTTGAATCCATCCTCTGTTTCTCCCATCTCCCCACACCTTTAACCAAGTCTTATCATCTTTTTAACAACACTGTAAAAGCCTCTTTATCTGCCCTATGTCAGCATCACAGCAGGGTCAAAAAACTTACTGGCTTTCAGCTCTAAAAGACAAGAGCGAAAACCAGGGTGGGAGGGGGGAGTGCCATTGCCATTGTCACAGATCCCGGAGGATTATGGGAAACAAGCCACGGCGTGGTCTGTGTGGCAGAGGCAGGTTCTGGGAAGCGGACCGAGTGAGTCCAGGGCTGATGGGGCAAATCAGGAGAGGCTGAATCCAAGCTGGCCACCATGGTCCCATTTCAGGGAAAGCTGACACGAGTTACCAAGGCCCAGAGTTAGAGTGGGGAACTGTCCTTCAGAACCAGATCTTGCCATTAATGCTCCCATGGAACTCTAGAAAGCCATGAGAGGCAAAACTTCAAGTCGTAGAGGCCCAATCCCCTGTGTCCTGCTCTGACAAGTTTTATTTGTCACACTGCTTCAAGACCATGTCACTACCTTTGTAAAACCATCAACAGTTCCCCATTGCTACTCCCCAGAGTGATAACCAGATAGCCTAGCACCAAAGGCCCTGTGATCTGGCCCCACAGCCCTTCTTTCCTACCTCTCCTGCTCAAACTATACCTCATATCCCCTGTATGTGTCCATGCCTTCATGCTTCCCTCTCTCCCGAAATGCCCTGCCAGCAACCTTCAGACCCTTCGAGCCCAGATGGCAATCCCAACCCAAGAAGCCTTTTTGGATCTCCCCAGATGAAAAGAGCCTCACCTTCTTTTGCATTCTCCCAAAACTGTGTACCACTTTTGCTACAGCTGTTTAAATATAGCTTATCTTTCCTCCAAAAGTATACCGGACTTATGTACTCAGCAAATATTTGTTGGATGAACAAGAGAATGGCTGTGTAAATATTTAAGAGTAAAAGTACAAAGCATCATAATGATGGAAGCCACATCAATACCCCAAAGAAAGGAGAAAGGCACACTTCTCAGCTTGACTACTTATCTTTACAAATGTACACTCTTGAAGCTCGACTCATTTGTTTTTGAAAAAAAACAAAACAGACCCTTACTGATTGCTTTTAAGTTTTTAAATGAATTTTGTCCATGAAATTATATGTGGGAAATTATTTACAACAAAAGCCTTTCTTTGTTTGCATTTCTTGGCAGGCCTGTAAACATGGGAATTATATAAGGGTCTAGGTAAAACTTACATGAAGTCTGAAGAACCTAAAATATTTGTCTATTTTCTCATTCTAGAAAGTTCTTTGTTAACCTTCCAGCTCTCTAGTAGCTTAACTCAAATCTAGTCTTTAGCATTAGTTT